GGGTACAGTAAGTTAAATATAACTTAATCGAGATGCACTAATAAATAGATTATTATTTACCACCAGGAAATGACTTAGGAAGTAGTAATAAATATCCCACAATATAGGAGGGTCAAAGATAACAGTCGCTAAGGATAAAAGCCCAAAGGCCAGATTTTTGAAAATTTCGTCATACCCAGGAGTCGGGGAGAGGTAATTTTGAAAAATTAGTCGGATTTACATAATTAAAAATATTAATTAATTTTTAAGCGACGAAATTTTCAAGACTTTACCGTACATTCTACAAACTTTAAGCCATTCCAAGATTCTGATTTATTAACTACACATTGTCAATACATTTTGAACCTCAGTGAATTAATTGTAGAAATATACACTAGTTGATTCATGCACCTGGAAAATTAATGAGGATAGATATCTAATATTACAGGATATACTCATGAAAACAGTTATGTTATAAACAATAATTTGCATCAAAGAAACACATATGGATAACTGAAATAAACTAACAATTGTCCTAGTGCTGCATTTACGCACACCAGTTGTCTATTATGTCATGTCAGTGATCAATATTCTGTCTCTCACACAGCATTTTTCTCAAATTGTGTAATCTATTTACGTAAGTTCTAGACTACTAATTGAAATCCAACAACATTATACATTACATATATGATGAAACTAATTTTTGCGCTTATTTAAGTTGCTTTCAGATCAGTTGATTAATACGTTCCTGAGAATTAAGCTGAGAATCCAACTCCACTTTGTTATATTTCCTGGGCAACACACCAAAAATTCAGCGATAATTGTTTCCTTCTTATCACATACAAAAAGGTTAATTTGAGACATTTCAGATGTTTCATAAGCCAAGCAGCATCAACATCTTAAAGTGAAATAAAGACTAAGGCCACATTCACATCGAGTTGAGCCATGGCTCTACAAAGCCACGACCTAAAAATGGCAGATGTACATGAAAGGAAAACCCCCTAATCTTTTAATAGTCTCTCCGCCTCTCACGCACCTCCCCATGTGTCGTCCCAATGGAGCTGAGATTTAATGACTGTACCCCTGCAGGGACGATGCATGGGGAGGCGTGTGAGAGGCAGAGAGACTATTAAAAAAGTAGGTGGTTTTCCTTTCATGTACGTCCGCCATATTTAGGTCGTGGCTTTGTAGAGCCATGGCCCAACTCGATGTGAATGCGGCCTTAGGTAGTTTCTGAAATTTGCTTTTACTGAGTCTACTGATGTATTTTCATTGCACAAAAAAAAAAAAAAAAAAAAAAATTGGGAAGCCCAATAGCTCAGCACCTGTGCAAGATATAGATATATATATATATAATAGGTATATTTTGGATAAGGAAAACCAAGATTAGTAGTTCTTTGGTGCACATTTTTTTAAATTGATTTCTTGTCTTCACATATGACAAAAGAAAAATTGCTGGGATCCATCTACCGATTCAATGCATTTCCAGTTTGGAAATTCACCCCTCCTCACCACCCACCCACTTACACACTTTTTAAAATAAGGTCTTACTTTATCCACCCAGAGATCCATTTATTAAAAATTGACAGTAATGCCCTTACTGGTTTATTTAAACTTTGTTCTATTTACATAACAAATTTTCTGTGTCCCTTAGTACAGCCCCATTTGAGAGTTAAAAAATAATACTTTACATGCCAACAAGAAGGCAATTATTGAGCATTCCTTTTGCAATGAAAGTGCATGATGCTTGTGCCTCCTTTCCACTTCCACAGCAATGCCAGTTTCATGGTTGCACAGAGGACACAAAAAGGACACCGCCCAGTGTAAAGGGGGTTTTAACAACAACCCTGAGTTTCAAAGAGCACAAATTTACACTATATATCCATGTGTACAGTTATCATGTTAAAGTGGTGGACTTCAAGTGACCTCTGAAGCTCAGGGTATCTAGACTACTAAACGTCCCCTATCATTTAATAGGCAATGAATTTCCCTGGAAGAGATTTCCAATAATTGCAAACATGCACTTCCTTTCTGTGCACATTGCAGAGCAATTCCTATATGTTTTTTTTCATTTTTTTTTTATCAATCGTGTTAAGGAGGTTGGGATCATTCATATCCTTAAAATTGTGTTAAGACTTAATTGGTACATTAAATGTTAACACTGTTCATATTATAAAATTAATGCAGAATTCTGTACCTGTTAAGCAGTATCTGAACTGCTTGGTGTAGGTCAACCTTGCTTATTGTCAGTTGGTCAGTCACTCACTGTGGTCAGTGGCTCACACTGGTCAGTAGCAAACAGTGACATATATGGATGTCCCTGTGTATTGCATGATACACTTTGTATCCCCAGACAGGCCCACTGTTATAAGTAACTCTACAGATTTTGTTCACATTTCAGGTTTTTTTTTCCAGCTAAAATCTAAGATGTAAGTAATGTACATTAACTGCACCTAATTATATATGTACTACTTGACATCCATCATATGGTATTAAGAAAATTTACATGCCCAAATAGATTTTATCCAAACTGAATGTACACAGTTACTGTAACATATTATTGGAAGAGTATATGTGTGTGTGTGTGTTGGGTTTATGGCATTATTGATTTTAGAAGTCAAGTACATGTTAATTCAACAGCACAGCCAAACTGTCACTGCAATGTTTAAGAGATCAATTCAACATAATGATCAATAATGTGATATTTATAGTTAAGAAAAGACAAACCTCCAAGGACATATTTGGATAAACATTTCAAAAATAAGCCAAGTTCAAATGATAAACAACAAACAAATGAGGGAAAATGGGAAATCATGCAATGTCAGGCAGGATATTATCAATAAGCTTTTATCATAGCAGAGAGAGTATTGAGGAAGTATTCAAGTGGGTCGATTGGCCATATATGACCCTAGCTCAGACTAGTTAGTCCCGTGTTCTGAATGAGCCCTTTGAGTCTGGTATAACTTAATATCAAATTTTAATGTTTTCACATCAGATGTGATTTATTAGTATCTTGGCAGAGATTGGTTTTGTGTATTGTTGAACCCCTACCTGATAATTGCCATTAAAAGTGATTTGGAAAACAGCCCAGAAGGGTTAAGATAAGGCAATTAACTATATAATCTGTCGTCAAGCCAACAGCACACACAAAAATCTGAGTCAAACCACAATGCAGGGAGCGGTGACATGCAAGGAAATCTCAGGTGTCATGTTTGATTGTCCCCTTAAACAGATGGAAAAATATTACACCAGGTATGTCACTATCTGGTCAAAAAAAACCCCTTCAATGGAAGTGCCAATTGTTCTTTTTTTTTCAGCCCATCATGGATATCAGTTTAAAATAGTTTTGATGGAATTTAGTTTTTATTTTCACTAGACCATATATGGAACGTAATCCCTACCATAATGTGTCAAACAGTTTGACGCTGTCAAAAACAGATGAAGAGGTGTAAGCTGTTCACCTACATGGAAAACTCATTTGTCAACAATAAAAATTATGTCTTCCTTATCTCCTTTTAAAGAAGCATGTGAAGTCAATTTTTGCCACAAAAGCCATCCAAATGCCAGCATACAGTTTCAAGTAGTATAACTAAGAGAATTACCAAAAGGCATTGTCAAATTTTACCCAAAAAATGATATTTGAATGGATTTTTCTGCTAGCTTTCTATGCTGCTTTCTATTCTGCTAGCTTTCTATGCTGTATGGGTAAGAAAAGTAGGTTACAAAATTTGGTTAAATTTCTCACCCAAAATTTAAGGAAAGGAGCAGTCTAAAGCTCTTTTATGGCTGATCGAGTGATTTATTCAGTTTATCCCTTGGCATGTCGAATTAATTTGAGTCGTTTAAGAAACTAGTAGAAGTGGTTTATATATGTTACTGGGAATCCACGCTCCACTGATGCCCGGTTCATATGTACCTTTTAGCAAATACAGTAACTTATATGGCAGTGACCGGCGGAGCTTCATAGGGAGTTGTGACTCACTTTTTATTTCCCCAGATGCATGAAACGTTGATATTATTTAACTAATCTGTGAAGAACTCCATCACCCCCCTTCCCCACAATATGACCGTCTTCAATAACATGTAGTTTGTGCTGGAAGCAGACCAGATCAGACCAGTCTCTCATTTTTGTGTTTGCTCAATTGCAAAGTCAAATTATAAATGCATCTGTTTTGTGAAAATTAAGGCAATTAAATGTTTATTTGTGGTTTGATTCAATGTTTTTTTTTTAATATATGCACTGGGACTTGTACACAGTTAAGTGTATATAAATAAGAAAATTGGAATAGTTCTAACAAGATATGTCTATCGGCACAGGAAAGCTGTGTAGATTGCCTTTTCTCAATATGTTTATTATGACATAATTTTTTCATTAAATACTTATAAAAATTCAAATAGGGCAAACATAGATGCTATTCCAGTCAACCAGCTTAATTATATGATCATATAACTGGTTTGAAAGCATCCCTCGTCACTTGTGTAATAGGAACATCATGAAAATGATCGTAGGTGGGGGAAATAAATAGATGGAAATTGTGAACTATTGTCATTTCAATAGCAAGTAATGTTAGCAAATATAACATTGTGACACAGCAAAATAGGATTTAAAAAGGAGGATAAAATGTACTTGAAAAGTATTAAGCGTAAATTGCAGCTTATCTTGGGTAGCACTTTGGGTGAAATGCAATACTTCGGGTAAGATATGGATGTTTTAGCAGATGGCCCAAACAATCTGACATTTTCAAAGGTTTTTATTGCTGTATTTAAATTGATTTGACCAAAATGATATGTCTCTGAAATTAATTAATTGATCTTGGTCAAACTGTTTGGCACATTACCATATATCTTACTATATCAAAACTTATAAAACCCTTTGATATACATTTATTAAAACAAATTTTCAGTTTAATTTAGGAGATACTGA